CTATTGGGCGCCACGGATGGGGACGATCGAAAGTTTCCGCGAGTTGCTTGCTAACAAGATCTACGAGGATATGTTTCTTTATAGCGCTTCGCTAGAGAGTTATGATCGTGGTTCGAAAATGACAGAAGAGCCCCATAGGGGGGATGGGGGGCCCTAAACTCCTGTTCCAGCAGCCGTTTCGCTTGTGACTGCCTCGCAACTAATTCAGGAATCATGCTCTCATCTCAATGCCGGCTACATTTTTGGTCTGGACAGCCACGGTCCCGTGTGAAAAATGCACCGAGGTACATATGGCCGTGCTCTCTCACCCCTGTCTCCAATAGCCGATCTCCTAATCCTCGACCCGCCTCTTCACCTTTTGCTGCTGTCAGGGTGCTTTGCTCAAGTAATTCTATTCCTGGCGCTTGGACCCCCCTGGGGGCCTGCCAGAGCGCGTGAACGCAGAACCAGGCCTCGCGAAATCCAGATGGAGGCAAATTCTGGCCGACAGTGTGCTGAGAGTACCACCGTCAACCTCCTTTAATGCTCCAGTCAGTTTGTGCCGATTTCGCCCTGGACTGGCGCCGGGCTTGGCAGGCGTCGACATCGGCGATGAAAACGCCGGGCCGCTATCGCTATCGGGATGGGGCCATCAGAAGTGGATCTGGGGCGCAAGTTAAACCTCGGGGAAGGGGTCGGGGCCTCTAGAGCCGCGGGTTGAAGACATCATGTCGGAGGATGCCCGAGTAGGAGGGCTAACAGTCGCGGGCGTTTAACAGGTGGGTGAGGACTTGACTAGGGGGGCGGTATATATCATGGCTGAGGCCATGAGTTCTCCTCGGATTTCATGGCCGCCTCTTCTTCTTTCAATACGTCCCTTGGCCCCCCCCCATGGGCCGCGCACGTGCCATGAGATGCGAACACCCCTCTTGGTCGTCCGCCTCTTGGACGCCCTCAGTATGTATCACACGCGCGAGTGCTGAGATGAAGATGAGGCTGGATCTACTCAGTCTGTGCCGTTGTTTAACAACGCTAGTCAGGCGCTTCAGCCGGGCCCCGCCTTCGAGGATCGAATGAGTTGCCATCTCTTCCTCGGCGAAAGGGCGGCGGAGGGGCGGCGGAGGGCTGGCGGAGCGGCGGCCGAAGCCCGCGGAAGCGACACGACGGCGGCGCCGTCTGCGGAAGGCCAGCGGAAGCCTGCGGAAGTAAATATCGGCCTCCCAAGACATGGCAAACTAGCCCGCCATACACACATATATACATATGTATACATATACATGCACATGTATGTATGTATGCTGTCTGTATGTATGCATGCATGCATGCATCGTATGTATGCATGCAGGCATCGTATGTATGCATGTGTGCTCGTATGTATGTACGTATGTACGTACGTATGTACGGATGCATGTGTGTCTGTCTGTACGTATCTATGTACGTCTGTATGTATGTATGTATGTAGGTAGGTAGGTAGGTAGGTAGGTAGGTAGGTATGTCTGCATGCATGTATGTATGTATGCATGTATGTGCATTTGTATATACTTTACAGATCTAACCAAATGCATGCAGGCATTATCTCATGGATTTGTTTTATGAAATTATCTATTCACTCACATGTATACTATAGGTGTATATGTGTATACATATATATATATAGGTCTATTTGTATGGGCATACCTACCTACATACATACATACATACATATCATACATACATACACACATACATACATACATACAAACATACATACATACATCCTTACATACATACATACATACGTACATACGTACATACGTACGTACGTACGTACGTACATACACACATACATACATACATACATACATACATACATACATACATACATACATACATACATACATACACACATACACACACATATATGTATATAAATATATGTATCGCGTCCCGCAGTTGCAGATAAGAGTGACGGGTCATGCGCGGGGTGGGTCGCGGGTGGGTCGCGGGCGTGTCGCCGGGTGGTGGGTCGCGGGTGGGTCGCGGGGTGGGTTGCGGGTTTGTCGCGGGGTGGGAAGGTGGGCCCAGGCGACCAGGTCGAGCAGGCGGGTTGCTGGAGCGTGGGTCCTGAATGAATCGCGAGGATGTCTCGAGCGATAGCGCGATTCCCAAGTAAATCGTGAGAAAAGCCAGAAAGCGAGAGCGTGATTTCTGAGCGCCGAGGGCGCATCGGCGCATCGGCACAAATTGTGAGGAAGTATCAGGCGTGAGCCGCTGTTGTTGGAAACCGGGGGCTAGTGGCCCAGTTTGAGCTTCGTGACTTTCCCTCATAAGAAGCAAGCCCCAGGGGGAGCACTTCAATTGAAAAAATACCATGGTCACCGGAGGGGGGGATCAACAATAACTACTCTTCGGTAGTGAGAACTCAACAAAAACTATAATCCGCATCCAGCGACGCACCCAGGGACAGTGAATGACCGTTCGGCCCCCGCTTTCTGATATACATATAGATATGTCTATATATATATACATATGTTTTCATAGACACAAAGCTGTATTCATTTGATATGTATATATATATATATAGATGTATGTATGCATGCATGTATGTAGGTATATATATATATATATTTATATATATATATATATATATTTTTGTAATATATATATATATAAATATCGCACCCTGCAGTTGCAGATGAGAGTGAGGAGGCGTGCGCGGGGTGGGTCGCGGTTGGTCGCGGGCGGGTCGCGGGGTGGGACGCGGGTGGGTCGCCGAGTGGGTCGCGGGTGGGTCGCGGGTGGGTCGCAGGTGGGTCGTGGGCGGGTCCGCGATCGGGACGACGACGACAACAGCGGCAAACGGCAGCAGCAATGCGCACCGCGGAGTCCCCGCTTCGGCCGCGCACCCAGGGACAGCGAATGACCGTTAGGCCCCCATCGCTCTGCTGTCCCTGCGCTCGGACCTTCCCTTCCCTCCCAGGAGGCGCCCGCGCAGCGCCCGGAGCCCGCGCGCGGCGGCGAGAGCGAGGACGACGACGCCGCGGCGCTGGAGGAGGCCGCCGCGGCCGCCGCGCACGCCGCCGAGGCGGCGGGCGGCGACGCCGGCGCCGAGGCGGCGGCGGCGGCGGGCTCGGCGCCGCTGCCGATGCGCCGCGGGGACTTCTCCGCGGAGGGCGAGCAGCGGCGCGCCCTCGGGCGCGGCGGGGCGCGGGCCGGGCCCCGCGCGGGCGCCGGCGCGGGCGCGGCGGCGGCGCGGCGCCGCGCGGGCGGCGGCCCGCGGCGCGCGCGAGGGGCGCCGGCGAGGGCACGACCATGCACCACCCACCAAACCACGCCAGCCCAGCCCGAAGGCCTCGATTTGCCCTCCACTCCAACCCAACCCAACTCCCCTCCACTCCTCTCCCTCCCAGCCCTCCACTCCAACCTCCCTCGATGTGCCCTCCACTCCACTCCTCCAACCCAACCCCACCACTCCACTCCAACCCGACCCGACCCGGGGTGGTCGGGGAACATGGAGACACACATGTGGAACGCGTGCCCCCCCCCAGCCCGAAAGGCGGGCCTTCGGGCCGGGTCGGGGTGGTCGTGGCAGGTGGTCAGCCATGCCCAGACACCCGGCGTCTCGATAGAATCGAGGCGGAGGTCTTCCAGAGTTTGAACCCTCTCGGGGCCCTGACAGGGCCACGGGACCGCGACAGAACGGGTCCCACATCCACCTTCGAAATCAAACGCAAGTTTTTCCTGCGACGTGGCGGCGCCCCAGGACCTCAAAATTTAATCGTTCGCGCCGGAATGGGCGACTGCGACGGCCGCGTTTCGCGCGTCAACCAACATTCAAAACTTATGTCTGATTTCGAGGAGGGGTGCAGGGAAGTGGTCGAGAGGTCGGGAGCCCATGTCTCGAAAAGATCGTGGCGCCGGAGGTCGGGGTTCGGGTGTTGCTAGAAGTGCCCCTGGCCCAGGGTGCCCCCAGGGTTTCCAAGGAGGCCGCCAAGGCCTCTGGAGCACCCCTCCCGAGACCCCGAGGGCCCCAGGGGCTCCAGAATGGAGGGAAACGCTGGGGGCACCTTGGGCGAGGGGCACCTTGAGCAACTCCCGACCCATCCACCACCGGCGGCTCTTCCTGGTGGCTCCCACGGAGGATCGGGGACAGACTCGTCGGCCCTCCGAGGGCCCTCGTCGTCGTCGTCGTCGTCGTCGTCGTCGTCGTCGTCGTCGTCGTCGTCGTCGTCGTCGTCGTCGTCGTCGTCGGAGGAGGAGGAGGAGGAGGAGGAGGAGGGGGTCGAGGTTTTCGAGGTTGCCGGCCCTTTTTTGGGCGGTGCTCGTCGGCCCTGCAGCCTCGGGGTGCTCTCTGGCGGCTGCGCGTCGCCGACGGCGTTCCGGGGTTGCAGGGATCGTCCCGAGCGGAGGGCGCTCTGGGTCGGAAGCTGGAGCATATGCATTACCAGTGAGGGGCTGTTCTTCAATCCCCTCCCTCTCTTGGCCTTGACGTGAGGCCCCGCGTTCTCTTTTCCTTCCTCTGTCAATTCAAGCTGTGCGCGGCCCGCTCAGCTTCGATCGGAAGAGGCTCCCTCTCGACCCGCGAGTCAGAAAAGGCTGTTTTTCAATCCCCGGATTTTGTAGGGCCGGGGACGCCGTCGGGGTGGTGTGGCGTATATTTTTTATCCGTTTCCATGGGAGGCATCGAGACATGCATACACCAGGGTCCCGTGTACACGAGGATACGCTTTCCTGTGCAAATTCCAGTGTATGGCCAGAAAAAGCGTCGGTGTATGGAGTACGGTTGTGGGCGACGTTGTGGGGGGGGTAGGCTCAAGGGGGAACGCATCGACCCCCAATCGCCCATTGATCGCCGATGGGGGCCTGGTAATTAGCCCATCCCGCCCAGGATTGTGCAGCTTCGCTATCGAGGGCCTATCGCCGATCCATCCGCGATGTGTCGCCGATTCCAGGTCGACGTTCCTCCCCCCCATGAGCCGGTGCCCCCGGAACGTCCCCCCTCAGAGGAGGAGCCGTGGCCGCGCCCAGACGACGGGGTGGCCATGGTCGCCGCGTTCGACGAGGACGGAGGGTGCTTGTTCGACTTCGAGGACACCGCGGCGTCCAGGAGGAGCCTGGAGCAGGTGCGAGAGTGCCTGCGTTCACAGGACCCTCAGCAGCTGCAGCACTTCCTCCAGCGGAGCCCCTTCTGCGTGGACGGGCTCCTGACCCTCGCCGAGTACTTCCGGTCCCAGAACTCGCCAGAGCAGGCGTCCATCCTCGTCCGCCGGGCCGTCTACGCCATCGAGTGCAACTTCCACGCGAGCTTCTCGCCCTTCAGCGCCACCGGCGTGGGGCGAGCCTCGCAGCGGCCCCGGGTGCGGCTCCGCCTGTCGGACGACCCGAGCTGGCCCGGCTGGTCCTGGCTGCGGGCGCTGTGGCTCCACATGCAGGGGCTGGCCGGGCAGGGGATGCACCGCACCGCGCTGGAGGTGTGCAAGCTGCTGCTCGCCACGACCCTGCCGCGCGACCCGCTCCACGTGCTCATCTGGTTCGACTACCTCTGCCTCCGCGCGAAGCAGCACGACGCCCTGTGGAGGCTGGCGGCGTGCGCGGTGCCCGAGTACCGCCTCCATGGTCTGGAGCAGGAGCACCTGGTGTCGAACCTGGAGATGGTGCTCGGGCGGGGCTTGGGCCTGGACGCGTCCCTCCAGACCGTTCCGGGACGCTCTCGGCGCGTTCCGGCGCGCTCTGCAACGGCCGCGGCGCCCGATACGCCCTCCAGAACCGCCGGATTTCAGAGGTCCTTGGGGTCCCCGATCTATCCTGGTCCGATTTTTTTTTGTTGGGTCCTCGGTCCTGGCTTCGCCTCAGGTGCTCCCCAACTTCGCCTACTCGGCGGCACTCGCCGCCTTCCTGAAGGGCGGCAGGCCTCCGGACCCCGCCGGGCTGAACGAGGTGTGCGTCGCGGACGTGGCCGCGCCCCCTCGCGCCGCCCAGGAGGCCGCCGAGGGCGGCGAGGCTCCTCCTCCTCCTCCTCCTCCTCCTCCTCCTCCTCCCTGCTCCTCCTCCTCCTCCTCCTCCTCCTCCTCCTCCTCCTCCTCCTCCTCCTCCTCCTCCCTGCTCCTCCTCCTCCCTCCCTCTGGTCTTGGAGGCTGCCGACGCCCACGCCCGGCTGATGCGGGCGCTCCTCTACTTCCCCCTCGCCCTGAGGCCTCGCAGAGGGGAAGAGCGCGGCGTCGGCTTCAGCTTGCGGGAGTCCGCGCGGAGCTCTCGTGGGTCGGCGTTCGACGCGGGCCCCCCCCCCCCCCCCTCCTCCTCTCCTCCTCCTCCTCCTCCTCCTCCTCCTCCTCCCTCCCTCCTCCTCCTCTCCTCCTCTCCTCTTCCTCCTCCTCCTCCCCTCCCTGGCGCGCCCGGGGGGGGGGCCCCAGCGCCGCTCCAAGAAGTCCGCGTGGGCCTCCGAAAGTCTGTGCTCGTGCAGGGCCCTGCTGCCTGGTGTTACGTCGGGCCTGTCCCCCTACAGGGGGATCTTCGACGAAAAATAAAGCAGACCCCAAAATAATCAAACAATGCTCCAAACATATTCTGGGGACCATTTTTGGGGTATTTTTTGGCCTCTTTGGGTTTTGGGGGTGTTTTAATTTTTCGTAGAAAAAAACTCCTGTATGGGGGACACGCCCGACTTAAGCCCAGTGCCCGGCGCACTCGTCCCAAGACGTGGCGTCAGGTCAGCACGCCCGCTGGCCTGAAGGCGGCGCTTTTCGGCGCCTCCCCACCATACTGCTACTGTGTGTGTGTGTGAGTGTGTGTGTGTGTGTGCGTCGCCCCCCCCCCCCCCCCCCACCCCACCCCAGGGGCGACGCGCAGCACACCGAGAAATCTTGTTGTACAAGCTCCGTGGCGGGTGCTTTCTGGCCATACCGATCGGGAGACGAAATACTACAAGATGGCTGTATGAGATGCTCGGTTCGGACGCACGCCTCCCAGGAGGACACGGCATTAGTATGTCCTTTTGCGTCCCAGGCTTTCTTGTCCCGTGGACCTCCGGAAGTTTGTGCTTGTGCATGACCTCGCCGCCCAGTGCCCAGCGCGCTCTCTTACCAGGATGTGACGTTAGGTCAGCAAGCCCGCTGACTTGAAGCGGCGCTTTTCGGCGTCACCACAACGTACAAAGACCATGTGTGCGTGGCTGTCCCCGGAGGCGACGCGCACGCCGAGAGATCTTGTAGTACAAGCTCCGCGGCGGGCGCTGCCTGGCCATGCCGATCGGGAAACGACATACTACAGGAGGGCTGTATTATATGTTCTGGCCGGACGCACGCCCCCAAGGGATTTTGTGCGTCTGCTGGGAGGAGGAGGGGGACGAGTCGGAGGAATAGGAGGAGGCAGAGGAGAAGGAGGAGGAGGGTGGAGGAGGAGTGAGGAGGGATGATGATAACGATGATGATGATGATGATGATGATGATGATGATGATGATGATGATGATGATGATGATGATGATGATGATGATGATGATGATGATCATGATGATGATGATGATGATGATGATGATGATGCTGATGCTGCTCATGATGCTGATGATGATTATGATGATGACGATGAGGATGATGATGATGATGATGATGATGATGATGATGATGATGATGATGATGTCGATGCCGATGATGATGCTGAGAATGATGATTATGTTGCTGATGCTGCTGCTGCTGATGATTCTTATGATGCTGATGTTGCTGCTGCTGCTGCTGATAATGATGCTGATGCTGATGCTGATCATGCTGATGATGAGTATGATGATGATGCTGATGATTCTGCTGACAATGATGATTTTGAGGCTGATGAGGGTGATTATGATGCTGCTGATGATGATGCTGCTGATGATAATGCTGCTGCAGCTGATGATGATGATGCTGATGATGACGATGATGATGCTGATGATGATGCTGATGAGGATGATGATGATGCTGATGAGGATGCTGATGATGATGATGATGATGATGATGATGATGATGATGATGATGGTGATGGTGATGATGATGATGATGATGATGATGATGATGATGAGATGAGATGATGATGATGATGATGAGGATGATGGATGATGATGGCTGATGAGGATGCTGAGAGGAGATAGGAAGGAGGAGGAATAGGAGGGGGGAGGAGGAGGAAAGGAGGGGGAGGAGGAAGGGAGGCGGGGATGAGGAAGAGGGAGGAGGGAGGGGGAGAGGAGGGGGGCAGGGAGGAGGGGACGAGGAAAAGGAGGAGAGGAGTAGGAGAGGAGGAGGAGAGGAGGAGGAAGAAGAAGACGGAGCAGAAGGAAGATAGGGAGGAGGCGCTGCTCCAAGGCCGCTGCTGGAGGAGATGGGCGCCAAGATCCACGGCCCCTCCCCAGGCGGCTCCGCCTCGCGCGAGGCGTGGTCGGACCTCCTCGCGCGCCCGCCCTTCTCGGACGCCGCGGACTTCCAGCACCAGCGCCACGGCGCTGCGCACGGCTGCCTCTGCGCGGCGTACGCCAAGCGGTGCGTGCCCCTCCTCTTCCTCGCTCTCCCTCCTCCCTCTCCCTCCTCCCTCCTCTTCCTCGTCCTCCCGTTCCTCTCCTCCTCCCTCCTCCCCCTCCTCCTCCTCCTCCTCCTCCTCCTCCTCTCCTCCTCCCCCTCCTCCTTCTCCCTCCTCCCTCCCCTTCCTCATCCCCTCCTCCTCCTCCTCCTCACTCCTCCTCCTCCTCCTCCTCCTCCTCATCCTCCTCCTCCTGCCTCCCTGCTCCGCTCCCTGCTCTCTGCTCCCTGCTCCCTCCCTTCTCCCTGCTCCTCCCTCCTCCTCCTCCCTCCCTCCTCCGTCTCCTCCCACCTCCCTCCTCCCTCCTCCTCCCTCTCTCCTCCTCCTCCTCCTCCTGCCGCAGGGCCCCTCCACGGCGGAGTGGTGACCACACCGCGCGGTGAGACCGTGGCGATTGCCTGGGTCTCCGCGCGGTTTCGGGACCTGGGCCGCCCTCGGAGGGTGCCTCGGGGCGGCCGGGGGGCCTCCTGGGCCCCCCAGAACCGCTGCGGTGACGCACCGTGCTTGGGAGCGGTCTCTCAGGACTCCGAGGGCGCCGCACGGCCTGCTACCAGCAGAAGAAGCTGCAGAAACATTTAACTTTCGAAGGCCCGCGCGGCCTTCTCGGATCTGTGCTGGGCTCCTCCCTGGCGGCGCCTCCAGCGCCGCCCCCGGACGCGCCCCCGGGCGCGCCCGGGAGGGGGGCCCAGCGCCGATCCGAGGAGGCCGCGCGGACCTCTGCAGTGTGATGCTTGTGCCGCTTGTTGCTCTTCTGCTGCAGCCCCGAAGAGTACTTTATTCGTGAATTTAATTGGTTTTAGGGTTCTCACACATGGTCGCAGCCACGCAGAGGGCGTGCGTAGCGACGCCCCAAATGCTCGGTCTCCAGTCCTTCTGCGTGGCGGCGCCCCCGCAGGCACGCAGAGGGCACGCGTGGCGACGGGGGCGTCGCCACGCAGAGCTTCTCAAGACCCAACATTTTGAAAACCAATTGTTTCCACGACTAAAGTAGCCTGACGAAAGCGGCCCTGGGCCTCAGGAAACGCTGCGGGGCCGCCTCGGGGTCTTCCTGGGGCTGCCTGGGCATGGCGGCCATCTTCCCGCAGCGGCGCGTCCCCCCTGTCGCCGCCCGGTGTTGCATCGGACACCCCGGGTGCTGCAGCGGCCCAGTCGAGAGCCAACTTTCGCTTCAGGAGGGTTGTTCGCCTGCGATTGTTCGCCCCACTATCCCCGAGCTGCCTCCAAGAAATCGGGTCGCTCAGGAGAGGGGGGGGAGTCGGGGACACACCTTCGGGGAGGAGCTATTCGGACGCGCCCCTATCGAGGATGCGCTCCCCCACCCATCCCACATCCCAGAGTTGGGCCCAGGCCTTTTGGTCCAAGGAGACCCGCCAACGCCATGATCTACTGCTCATGGGATCAGGCGACCGACGACCGACGACCGACGACCCACGAAAGACGACGACGACGACGACCATGACCACGACCACGACCAGGGCGACAACGACGATGACGATGACGACGACGACGACGCCAGCCGATGACCGACGACCGACGACGACGACCGACGACGACGACGGCGACGGCGAAGGCGACGACGATGGCGATGGCGACGGCGACGGCGACGGCGACGACGAGGCCGACGCCGCCGACTGCCGACGACGACGACGGAAGACCAACGACCGACGACCGACGCCCGACGACCGACGACCGACGGCCGACAACGAGGGACGGACGACCGACGACCGACGACCGACGACCGACGACTGCGATCGATGACCGACGACGACGACGACGACGACGACTGACGACCGACGACCGACTACCGACGACGGAAGAGGGACAACGGACGACCCACGACTGATGAGGGACGACGACGACCGGCTACCGACGACGACGACGACGACGACAACGAACAACGACGATGACGACGCCGACGCCGACGCCGATGCCGACGCAAACGTCGACAACGCCGACGGCGACGGCGCCAGCCGACGCCGACGCCAGCCGACGCCGACGACGCCGATGCCGACGCCGACGACCAACGACGCCGAGGCCGACGCCGACGCCAGCGCCGACGCCGACGCCGACGCCAACGCCGATGCCGACGCCGACGACGACGCCGACGCCGATGCCGACGCCGACGACAACGCCGACGACGACGACGACGACGACCGCGCCGACGCCGACAACTCCAACCGACGCCGATGACGACGACGCAAAGGCCGACGCCGTCGCCGACGCTGACGCCGACGCCAACGCCGACGCTGACGCCGACGCTGACGCCGACGCTGACGCCGACGACGACGCCGACGACGACGCCGACGCTGACGCCGACGCCGATGCCAACGTCGACGACGACGCCAACGCTGACGGCGACGACGCCGCCGACGACGACGCCGACGCTGACGCCCACGCCGATGCCGACGACGACGACGACGACGACGACGACGACGACGGTGCCGACGATGACGACGCCAGCCGACGCCGACGCCGCCGATGCCGAAGTCGTGGCCGACGCCGCCGAAGCCGACGCCGACGCCGACGCCGACGGCAGACGCCGACGCCGACGCCGACGCCGACGCCGACTCCGACGGAAGACGACGAAAGCGACGACGACGACGACGACGCCGATGCTGGCGCCGACGCCGACGCCGACGCCGACGACGACGCCGACGACGACGACGCCGACGACCGACGACGACGACGACGACGACTCACTCCACACCCAGAGGGGGAGGGGGTGCGCCAGTACCCTTCACCACGCCGCGCCCACATGGCCACGAGCACAGGGGGGGGGGCTATCCGATCGGCGAGGCCTTCGCGAGGCTCACGGGCGTACCCATCCAGGTGGGGAGGGGGGGCTCGATCCCATATGCATTGGGGGTGGGTGGGCAACCCTGGATCATATATGGGAAACTCATGGAATGACGAACATCCAGAATACACACACATATATATATATATATATATATGTATATCTATGTGCAGTAATTTTGGGGAGCCAGGAATTTGCGTACACTTGTCGGTCTCCCTGGGCGACTTTGATACGCATCTCTGGCTGCAGGTGCGGCTCGATGTGGCGCGCCGACCTGGCCGCGCGGTGGCTGCACACCTGCGCCGCGCGCCTCGTGCGGATGCACGACTCGGCGCTCTTCGCCGCCGAGCTCGCCGCTGCCCGCCGCCGCTGGTGCTCCGCACCCCTCGGGCTGGAGGCCGCGCTCGCGGCGGACTACAGGGACCTGTCCCCCGAGGAGGGGTCTTCGTCGTCGTCGTCGTCGTCGTCGTCGTCGTCGTCGTCGTCATCGTCGTCGTCGTCGTCGTCGTCGTCGTCGTTCAGAGGGGGAAGCGGCCCCGATACCGCCACCCTTTCCTGGCTGTCGCCCTCTTGGGCCTCCTGGGAGGCCCTCGGCGCCCCGGCTGGATTCGCCTCGAGACTCTGGTCAGAACGCACCCCTGGAGAGGTTCAAGGAGTAGCGGTGGCGGTATCCCTCGAAGACGAACAAAGAGCATAGACGGGTCGCTTCGGAGCTCCGCGCGGATTTCTCGGCCCTGCGCTCGGTCCCCTGGCGGCTCCTCCAGCGCGCCAGGGAGGGGGGTCCAGCGCAGGTCCAGTAGATCTGCGCGGACCTCCGAAAAGAGGAAACGGTACCGATACAGCCGTCCTTCCCTCGGTTTCGCCTCTGCGGGCCTCCTGGGAGGCCCTCGTCGCCACGGTTGGATCCGCCTCGACCGTCTGGTCAGAGCGCACCTCAGGAGCTTCTTCGATGAGCGGTACGCTAGCTTCATGCGGCGTTGGTGCGCTTGCGACGCTGGCGAAGGCGTTCAAGTTTGAATTCTGCGACGCGGAAGCACCGATGGACACGGTAACGCCATTTGACCCGACGGAGTTCAATATTGAGCGATCGGGGCCGCGATCGATTCAAGGTTGAACGATCGACGCGGTGTCAGAAACCAACGTCGACGTCATCGCCGCACAAACCTGCCGTGTCGTTACCTCTTGGTTTTCCCAGGTCCGTCGAGCAGCCGCCGGTGCCGCCGCGGCTGGACGCGGCCGCGGTGGTGCGGCTGCAGCCCGCTGGGATGGACCGCGACGCGGGCGGCGCTGGCTTCGGCCCCGCGGGCGGCGTCGCGGCGGCCTTTAGGCCGACGCAGTGAAACCCCATGCCAAGAAACACCCTGCTTGCCTCAAGGGTGCCCTGGGTTTCTTGGGTTTCGATGGTTTTGCTATGGAAAGCGTGACGTTCCCACACCAGAAATCAATGGACGTCCTGGGTTCTCCTGGTTGGGTTTCTTGTGGAAGGTTTTTTACTTAACAGCTTTTGCTGATAGGTTTCTAGTGGGCTCAAAAGAGAGCATCTTGACGCCCCAGGGGGCTTTGGGCGGGATCCGGACAGATCCCGACAAAAAGGGTCAGCCCCAGTTTTTTTTTTTTTTTTTTTTTTTTTTTTTTTTTTGATTTTTTACACAGGAAATTTTTTAGGAATTCTTAGGAATCCTTAGGGAATCCATTCCCAGAACACCATTCCCAGGCCACATTTTGAATGCCCGGAGCCAACTGTAGGCCACTTCGTGTTCTTCGTGTTCCCAGAACACCATTCCAAGGCCACATTTTGAATGCCCGGAGCCAACTGTAGGCCACTTCGTGTTCTTCGTGTTCCCAGAACACCATTCCCAGACCACATTTTGAATGCCCGGAGCCAACTGTAGACCACTTCGTGTTCTTCGTTTCCCAGAACACCATTCCCAAGCCACATGTTGAATGCCCGGAGCCAACTGTAGGACACTTCGTGTTCTTCGTCTTCCCAGAACACCATTCCCAGGCCACATTTTGAATGCCCAGAGCCAACCGTAGGCCACTTCGTGCTCTTCGTCTTCCCAGAACACCATTCCTGTACCATATTTTGATTGCCCGGAGCCATCTGTGGGCCCCCCTCCCCCCCCCCCCCCCCCAAAACTTCGTGATCTTCGTGTTCCCAGATCACCAGTCCTGTGCCATATTTTGAATGCCCGAGCTGAGGCAGGCTGAGGCCGAGGCAGGCTGAGGCTGAGGCAGGCTGAGGCTGAGGCTGAGGCACGACGAGGCAGGCTGAGGCTGAGGCTGAGGCAGGCTGAGGCTGAGGCAGGCTGAGGCTGAGGCTGACGCAGGCTGAGGCCAAGGCAGGCTGAAGTTGAGGCTGAGGCAGGCTGAGGCTGAGGCAGGCTGAGACTGAGGCTGAGGCAGGCTGAGGCTGAGGCTTTTGTTTTTAAAGGGTCCCCCCCCCCCCCCCTGATGCAGGATGAGGCTGAGAGGCTGACGCTGAGGCTGAGGCAGGCTGAGGCTGAGGCCGAGGCTGAAGGCAGACTGAGGCTGAGGCTGAGGCAGGCTGAGGCTGAGGCTGAGGCCTAAGCTGAGGCAGGCTGAGGCTGAGGCTGTGGCTGAGGCTGAGGCAGGCTGAGGCTGAGGCTGAGGCTGAGGCTGAGGCTGATGCAGGCTGAGGCTGAGGCAGGCTGAGGCTGAGGCTGAGGCAGGCTGAGGCTGAGGCTGAGGCCGAGGCAGTCTGAGGCTGAGGCCGAGGCAAGCCGAGGCAGGCTGAGGCTGAGGCTGAGGCTGATGCTGAGGCAGGCTGAGGCTGAGGCAGGCTGAGGCTGAGGCTGAGGCAGGCTGAGGCTGAGGCAGGCTGAGGCTGAGGCCGAGGCAGGCTCAGGAGGCTGAGGCAGGCTGAGGCTGAGGCAGGCTGAGACTGAGGCTGAGGCAGGCTGAGGCTAAGGCTGAGGCTGATGCATGCTGAGGCTGAGAGGCTGACGCTGAGGCTGAGGCAGGCTGAGGCTGAGGCTGAGGCCGAGGCAGGCTGAGGCTGAGGCTAAGGCAATCCGAGGCAGGCTGAGGCTGAGGCTGAAGCTGAGGCAGGCTGAGGCTGAGGCTGAGGCTGAGGCTGAGGCTGAGGCAAGCTGCGGCTGATGCAGGCTGAGGCTGAGAGGCTGACGCTGAGGCTGACGCTGAGGCTGAGGCTGAGGCAGGCTGAGGCTGAGGCTGAGGCAGGCTGAGGCTAAGGCTGAGGCTGATGCAGGCTGAGGCTGAGAGGCTGACGCCGAGGCTGAGGCAGGCTGAGGCTGAGGCTGAGGCCGAGGCAGGCTGAGCAAGCCGAGGCAGGCTGAGGCTGAGGCTGAAGCTGAGGCAGGCTGAGGCTGAGTCTGAGGCTGAGGCTGAGGCTGAGGCTGAGGCAAGCTGCGGCTGAGGCAGGCTGAGGCTGAGGATGATGCAGGCTGAGGCTGAGGCAGGCTGAGGCTGAGGCTGAGGCAGGCTGAGGCTGAGGCTGAGGCCGAGGCATGCTGAGGCTGAGGCCGAGGCAAGCCGAGGCAGGCTGAGGCTGAGGCTGAGGCTGATGCTGAGGCAGGCTGAGGCTGAGACAGGCTGAGGCTAAGGCTGAGGCAGGCTGAGGCTGAGGCAGGCTGAGGCTGAGGCTGATGCAGGCGAATCCTTCGGAATCCTTAGGATTCCGTAGGAATCCTTAGGAACCCTTAGGAATCCTTAGGAATCCATAGGAACCCTTAGGAATCAGGATTCCTAAGGATTCCTAAGGTGTCCTAAGGATTCCTTTGGATTCCTAAGGATGCCTAAGGATGCCTAAGGATGCCTTAGGAATCCTTAGGATTCCATTGTATCCTAAGGCCGTTGCCACTGCGACTGTCATTGCGAATGCGACTGCGACTGCGAGAGCAGCAGAATTCTACAACTGGATTATCACCTGAATCTTAAGGGGAATGCTTCCAGATATGCTTATACACATCGCTGTTAGGTTGCTTTGCCAGGATACTTTGTTCGAGCTCCTACTGTATGCCTTCTAGATGGGGTCGGGGTAGATGGGGTCGAAGGATCGCGCTGCATCGCCGATGCATCGGCGATGCGGCTCGATGTGGATCCCGATTTTCTCCACGCCGACGGCGCCGACGTCGCCAGTGCATCGCCCATGCATCGCCCATGCATCGCCAATGCATCGGCGATGCGGCGCGATCCTCCGACCCCATCTACTCCGACCCTATCTAGGAGGCCTCTAAGGCCGCCGCCGACGATCTCCCTGCACTCCCCGCCGCTTATCGTCTTCTTCCAGTCGCTCCTGCCCTGGGGCGAGATAGACCGCAGCGGTGTCCGCGTCGAGAAGCTCGGCTGGCAAGGCTTCGGCAGCAAGTCATGGGAGCCTTGTGTACCCTCGCTATTCCGTCTTTAGCGTGCACGAGCGTCGTCCAGCGTTTGGTGAAAGATGGGCTGGTGCCGATGTAGCGTCGACTAGCGGCCATTCGCGTCGATGCAGCGTCCTTTTGGCGTCGTTTCAGCGTCGGCTCGCAGGCGCAGGCGAGAGCCAACAACGACGGCACGGGAGGCTCCCGAGAGTTGCCACGGAACGAGGCCTTGCGAAGAGCGCGCTCGTGTGCTCGGAGAGCATCGGGCTCTTCGCGCTGGGCGCCGTCTGCGACGTGGGCCGCCTGGCGGCCGCGCTGGCGAGGGAGGCCCGGGAGGCGGCGCGCAGCGTGCGGTGGTGAGGCGGCGGCGTGCCCCGCGCGAGCGCCGTGTGCGGGTCTGCCCGCCCGAGCAGCGGTTCGCGCCGCGGAGCGCAGAAAAAAGTGCTTCTTTCGGGTTGTGGCTAGTGATCACACAGGCTTCTCCTCCTCCTCCTCCTCCTCCTCCTCCTCCTCCTCCTCCTCCTCCTCCCTCCATCTCCTCCTCCATCTCCTCCTCCTCCTCCTCCTTCTCGTCCTCCTCCTCCTCCTCCTCCTCCCCACTCCTCCCTCCCTCCCTCCCTCCCTCCCTCCCCCCCCCGCCCTCCCTCGCCCTACCTCACTCCTCCCCCCCCCTCCCCCCTCCCTCCCTCCCGTCCACCCCCCCCCTCCCGTCCGCTCCCGCGCCTCCCGTGGGCCACCGGACCCTCCGCGGGCGGGAGTCCGATGCCGCCATCCCGTGCCCGTCCGAACGCCCTCCCTCCCTCCCTCTCCTCCTCCCCCTCCTCCTCCTCCGCCTCCTCCTCCCTCCTCTCCCCTCCCCCCCCTCCCTGCCTCGAGCCTCACCTTGCCCCTCACTCACCAAAAGTCGCCTCCTGCCTCCCCTCCCATTCCCTCCCTTCGCCTCATCCCTCCTCCCCCCCTCCCTCCCTCCCTCCCTCCCTCCCTCCCTCCCTCCCTCTGCCTCCCTCCCTCCCTCCTCGCATCCCGCTCCCTCCCGCCCTCCCCCTCCCTCCCGTCCCTCCCTTCCCGTCCCTCGCCGCCCCGGTCCCTCCCTCCTCCCCCCCGCCTTCCCCACCTCCTCGTCCTCCTCGTCCTCCTCGTCCTCATCGTCCTCCTCCTCCTCCTCCTCATCCTCCTCCTCCTCCTCCTCCTTGTCCTCCTAGTCCTCCTCGTCCTCCTCGTCCCCCTCGTCCTCCTGGTCCTCCTCGTCCTCCTCGTCCTCCTCGTCCTCCTCCTCCTCCTCGTCCTCCTCGCCGTAGCCATTTTGGCTCAAGGCTTTGTGTTCCACAGTGGAACAAGTGGATACCGCTAGTCCGCGGCAGTGCCAGAGCGCTTGCGCTCGACAGTCTTTCTTTCCGCCAGTACCGCAGGGGCTTCTGGCGGCCCAACGGCACCTGGTGCTCGGTACCCCTTCCGCGCTGTGAGCTCCTGTCGGAGCGTGCATGCCATGCCGTGGACGTGGACTTCTGCGGAGCGTACCCCTCCCTGGCGTGCGAAAGGTGATCAGCAGCGCCGTGATGCTGGTCGCCGTGTCCACAAGCGTCGCCGTGATGGTGAGGCTTCACCCTACGCCGTCTGCAGCAAGTGCGGGCACTGGGAGTACCTCTTTCATGGTCACACTGCGTGCAGCCGGTGCAGCGGCTCATATGTCATGCGCAATAAGACTACGGGTGAGTCGAGTGCGGCGGTCGACTCACAATGTCCTCTCGATCTGTCAGGGCAAGCAAGTGCTGCTGTCGCTCAATTTCCTGGCCTACGAGATGTGCTTGCGAACCACCTGCCGCCTCCACCACCGCCGAACGTCCCGTCCGATGCGCAGCTGGACGCAGCGGTGGCTGGAGAGCGGACTGCCTTGGCGAAGGGCGTGGAGGAGGCTGCCAAGGCTGAGCGCTTGGCCTGGCAGAGTCGCTCTGAGCGTCAGGAGGCCTTGCTCAAGGCCCGTGAGAAGGTCAAGCAGGCCGAGGCTGCCTTTGCCGAAGCCTCATCGCACCTCGAGGACGCCCAGTCAGCCCACACCGTCGCCAAGGAAAAGAAGGACAGGTTCGACGAGGCTGCGTTCAAGAAGCAGAAGATGGAGGCTGCGGCGGCTGCTCAAGCTGCTGCGCGGCCCCCTCCCGCTGGTGCAGACGGCCCACCTGGTGGAGAACCTGGAGGCGCTCATGGCGTTTCTGGAGCAGGCCCTGCACCCGAAGATGCCCGTGAAGTACTTGGTAAACTACATACCCTGGGAGATGATGACCTTCGGAAGCTCGCCGACAGCACCAAGGTCCCCTTCAGCGAGTGGTGCAACCTGCGCACCGCCCAGCTTGCCGCTCACAACGTCCTCAGTTCGGTCTCGCCTGGCTCCTCGGCGTCTACGTCGTCTGCTCCTGGTGAGGCTGGCGCTGACGCGGGTGCAGATGCTGCTATGGGCGGTGCGAGTGGCGAGGATGGTGGTGAACATAAGGCTGTTCCTGTCGACGATGATGATGATCTTCTTGGTGAAGCTGATCGGCAGGAGCTTTCTGAGCTTCGCAAGCGTTCTGCGGAGCAATGTAAGCCTGAGGACCTCGAGAGGTTGGAGACCCTCCTGGTCAAAAAACCATGCGCAGGCGCATAAGAAGCTCAAGGTGGCTACTTATGCTAATGATATGTGGGTCAACGCTTTTGCCCACCTGGCAGCCCCCCAAGTTGTGCAAGGCGCGTCGTTGGTTTGACGAGTCCCTGGGGCGGCGATGGCAGAGGGTCGACGTGCGTTCGACTATCGATGTCAAGTTCTGCAACGTTTCCAGCTGGTCTGAACTGGCCAAGTCTGAACTTGCCAGAGCTGTTGAGGACGTCGATGTTTACCTCTTTGCCGAGCACCATCAGGGACCCGACAAGCTACAGGCCGCCAAGAGAGACTGCTCATCTATGGGATGGCGCCCGCACTTCCAAGCAGCCCTTCCCTCGCCTGGCGGAGGATGGCACGGCGGCGTCGGCGCTGTCGTGCAGAAGGCGGTCTACTGCAAGAAATTCCTACGTAGTCTCCCAGCTGGGGTCGAGAACGTGGGCCAGGGGCAGAGTTGGGTTTTCCTGGAAATGAAGACGCAGCATTGTACGCTCGCTCTGGGAGTTATCTATCTCGTCTCTGGGATTGGAGCTTCAGGTATAAACCTCGACCGTCTCCATGAAGTGGTTGAGTTCCTGGGGATGCTTGAGCGCCCGTGGATCCTCTTGGGAGATTTCAACATGGAGCCCCTTGAGTTGCATCAGTGTGGATTCTGTGAGGTTGTCTCTGGCGTCACGGTGGACCCCCGCAATACTGACTTTACCTGTGACAAAGGCACTGGCCGCCTGATCGATTATGCTGTCGTGTCGCGGGACATCCGCCCATACCTGACGATTGATGCGGATTGGAGCTCCGCTTTTAAGACACACGCCTGCTTGCATGTGCAGATGTCGCTCGAGGTTCTCCGTGACACCGTGATGAAACGAGATAGACCTGTTCCAATCGGGGCCCACCCTGGGCCTGATCAGCGTTGGAGTGATTTTGTCCACCGTGCCGGTGACCAAGTTGTGGAGATACCTCGCGAAGTCCGTGGAGCCTTCCTCGAGTTTCACTGGCCCCTACACTCGCAAGGACTCTCGGAATCCTATCGAAAGTGGTCTACTGCTGCGGAAATGCTGTTTTGCTCCCGCTCCCTCTCCACCTGGCCTTCGCCGGGGGGGCGCAGGGGCAGAGCAGTAGTTGTGCAGGAGCGGACCCTTCCCAAACGAGGAGTGATGAAGCAAGGCTTCTCCCACCCCTGCCTGGCTTTTTGGGCGCTGATATCGCCCCGCCTGTATGATTTTGTTGTCGCCTTGAAGAGAGGAGGCACCACCCAGGTCACCGCTCTCAGGACTCTCCTCCGAGCGCGCGGTGACGAGGTGGGGCTACGCCTTGAAGGCCTTGCCGATGCACGGCAAGCTGCTGTATGGACAGGGTGGTTGCAAGACATCCCAGGCGACCCTCGGAAGCTCGAAGCCATCCAAGAAGCTCTCGTCCCCGTCCTTCGTCGCGCGTGGACTGCGGCTCGGAAAGCTAATCGCCTCGGCATCCAGGCCTGGCTCTCCAAGGGACTTGCGGGGGGAGCGAAAGTGGTGCACCGTTGGTTACGTTCTGATGCCAAGAAGGAGGTTGAGATGTTTGTTACTCCCACTTTTGTTGCCCAAACCCCCCAAGAGCTGATGAGATATCGCGAGCAGTTTTGGGCGTCCTGGCGGACGCCAACGAGTAGGCAAGCCGGTGATCTAGAGTACGCTATGCAGCGCCTCAGACCTGTCGCTGAGCTGGAGTCGCTTGAGGCTCGCGGCATTGAGGGCCAAGACGTGCTCACGGCTTGCAAAAGTTTCTCGGCCGACACGGCCCTTGGCGTGGACGGGTGGTCCCCTCGTGATTTGATGCGGCTTCCTGGTGAAGCCCTGGATCACTTGGCCACCATTTTTAATGGCATCGAGTATGCCCTTGAGTTCCCCCAGCAGGTCTACCTTTGTCTGGTCACCCTCCTGCCCAAAACGTCCACGTCTGAAAGACCCATCACTATGTGCCCCACCCTCTACCGACTGTATACCCGAATCCGCGGGGACAAAATCCAGGACTGGACCGATTCCCACGTCGCCTTCTGGGATGCGGCTGTGAAGAAATCGTCGGCCTTGCGGGCCGCCATGCTCCGTGAGGTTTTGCACGAGTGTGCTCGGGTGGAGGGAGTGTTTTCTGTTTCTGGCCACTGGGATATGGAGAAGTTTTTTGACACCATCGACCCAAGTAAGCTCATCGGCTTGGCTCAGGCTGTCGACTACTCCTCCTTGCTCCTCTACCTGGGCCTCCTGATCCACACCTCCCCCAGGCTCCTCGAGGTCCAGTCCCTGGTGTCGGGTGTTATGCAGGCAGGCCAGTCCATTTAGCTGGATGTTCCCAGTCCCTGCCATGGATCAAATGTTATCTCTATGACATCTTGGAGGCGGCACATTGTCGTGTCCCTCGAGTCCCGATTTCGGCGTATGTGGACGACCTTACCCAGTGCATCCAAGGCTCCGCGCAGGACATCATTACCAAACTGGTGCCAGCTGCGCGAGAACTTTGTGATGTATTGAAACGTCGTGGGTGTAAGATCTCGTCGAAGTCGTGCGTCGTCGCCTCTTCTCGGCAAGTTGGTCGCCCTTTTCAGGCTCTCTGTGATGAGCTGAACGTTCCGCTTAAAGTTGTTGATTCTGTGAAGGACTTGGGAGTTGGGACCACGGCGGGGAGGAGGAGGACGATGTGGAAAATGACTCAGCGCAAGGAAGAAGCTAGGCTTCGCAGTAAGAGGCTCACGTTCCTG